GACCTGCCGGCCCGGGGCTGCGCCGAGGCCCCCCCGGGAGGGAACAGCCCAGCCAGGCTGCACGGCAACAGCCCCGGGGCTCGCAGGGAAGGTTTCTGTTACACCAGCCTTTACAGATTTCTAAAAGTAATTATATATCTTGGCTTTGTGCAGCCTGGTCCGGTGGGAGGTGTCCCTGCTCATAGACCTTTAAGGGCTCCTTCCAGCCTTAACCATTCTATGATCTGTTGCTTTTTTTTTTTGTCTGTGTCACCAAAGTCCTTCAAAGACTATAAAACTAATCAGCTGTGGACATACTTGGAGCCAGTCCATGCTGAGCCTGCTGTCTCCCAAAAGTTACCCTCATGTTTCTCCTGGTGGGAGATAGCAACCTCAGTGTCTGCTGAGATAAGGGTTGGTCAGGCTTGGCTGGTTTTTCAGAATGATTACCAATGGTTTGGAAATACCTCTGCAAATTGTACACTGAATGGCTACTTGCTCTAGGAATTTTAAAGTCTTTTGAAGAAGTTTGCACTGTCACTTCTGCAGCATAGGATTGTACCAGAGCCTCCTGCTAGTTGACCCAGCAGTAATTACTTTCTGGTATGGGAAGTTGAAGGCAACAGGCTGCAGTTCTGACCGTGTTACTCTCTGATGTTTGTTACTGGCTGCAAAGGCTGCCATGTCCTGACTCTGCTAGTGCTGATGGAGTCAGGAAACAGTAAGAAATGAACACGTTCACTGACTGGGAGGGGGAATGGGTTGCCTTCCAGCTTGCAAATCAAAAGCTCCCAAGTTGAGAGACATAGCTCAGGAGGTCCATTTTAAAGGCAAGTTCCTCATACCAGTTGTGAAGGCAACATGGCCAGCTGGAATGACCTGGCTGTAAAAGCCTCATCTGCAGCAGGACAGTGCTGCAATGTGGCATTGCCAGCAGGAGTCACAACCAAATAAGTATCATCACCAGTGTGAGAAGTGGGAAATACATTCCAGACCAGCAGCAGCTCTTGCTCTGCTAGATGACATAATTCCCTGCCAACTGGGACTTCCCTGCTCTCTGAAATGAAGCACCTCAGCAGTACATGCTCCTCCCAACACTTTGGTGCACAGGGCAGCACTGCTAGGCTGAGAGCACCATGCAGGGAATGGCACAGAGATAAGGCCAAATTCAGCACACAGCAATAATCCCTCTCTGCAATCCTGGGAATAAAGCTGCTCCTGTTCAAAAGGGAATGGAATTTGTAGGAAAGGAGGACTTTTGGGATGCAGGGTCATACAAAGGGAAACTCAGCTGGAACACCTCTGGGTGGTTCTACTAGAGCTTTGCTCAGTGCATACATACACTTGGAAGTATTTTGAGGCTAAGGCACAAAGGAGTGATTTGCCACAATAGCTACTCCCCCCATAAGTCACTTCT